ACTATGAGTTGTCCTTCTTCTACACGATGTCTAATGAAGTGATATTTTCTGTCGATATGTCTTGATCTACCATGATCCCTCGGTTCCTTGGTCAAGGCAACCGCACCTTCGTTATCACAGAAAATCTCCACGGGCTCCTTTATGGCAGGTACAACTCCAAGATCTCCAATGAAGTTCTTTAGCCATATTGCCTCCTTCGATGCTTCGCTCGCTGCAATGTACTCCGATTCGCACGTTGAATCACCTACGGTTTCCTGCTTGGAACTCTTCCAAGTTACTGCTCCTCCATTTAGGGGAAAGACCTAGCCCAACTGCGAATGGTAGTTGTCCTTGTCGGTCTGAAAACTGGCGTCACTATACCCTCGCACCTTCAAGTCATCACTCCCTCCAAGGACTAAGAACCATTCCTTCGTCCTCCGAAGGTACTTAAGGATGTTCTTCACCGCAATCCAATGTGATTTGCTAGGGTTCCCTTGATATCTGCTAACCATGCTCAAAGTGAAGGCTACATCAGGGAGAGTACAAGTCATATCGTACATGATTGAGCCAACTGCGGAAGCGTATGGTACTCGGCTCATTTCTGCTATTTTAGCTTCGGTACTCGGACTTTGAGTCTTACTCAACTTGGCATTACTTTGTATCGGTAGTTCTCCCTTCTTTGAGTTTTCCATACTAAAACGTTTTAGTACCTTCTCTAAGTAAGTATTCTGACTGAGTCCAATTAGTCTCTTACTTCTTTCTCTTACTATCCTTATTCCCAAAATGTAAGAAGCCTCTCCGAAATCCTTCATAGCGAAACACTTCCCGAGCCAGGACTTGACTTCCTGCAGAGTCGGGATGTCGTTTCCTATGAGTAATATGTCATCGACATATAGAACGAGGAAGCTTACTACACTCCCACTGGCTTTGACATATACACAAGATTCGTCTTCGCTTCGTACAAAACCAAACTCTTTGACTTTCTTATCGAAGCAAAGATTCCATCTGCGAGACGCTTGCTTAAGTCCATAAATGGACTTCTCAAGCTTACACACTCTATTTGGATGCTTCGGATCCACAAACCCCTCTGGCTGAGCCATGTAAACATCCTCAGCCAACTTTCCGTTAAGGAAGGCGGTCTTGACATCCATTTTCCAAATTTCATAATCATGAAATGCGGCAATTGCTAGCATCACTCTAATAGATTTAATCTTTGCAACTGGTGAGAAGGTCTCATCATAGTCAACTCCCGGAGTTTGAGTAAAGCCCTTCGCAACCAATCGCGCTTTATATGTATGTACGTTCCCATCCACGTTGGTCTTCTTCTTGAAGATCCACTTGCACCCAACGGTCTTACGTCCGGGCACATAATCAACCAAATTCCAAACATGGTTATCGTACATGGATTGGATCTCGCTATCCATTGCCTCTTTCCATTTCGCAGACTCCGGGCCTACCATGGCTTCCTTATAGCTATTAGGTTCATCAAGATTTACTAGTGTACCATCTCTAATATACGTGTCCCCTTTGGTAGTAATATCAAAACCATAAAACTGGAGATGAACTCTAACTCTATCGGAACGTCTAAGACGTAAGGACTCATCAATCAGTTCAACCGGAGTTTCCTCCTCAGGTTGAGTGCCAGTGGTAGAGGTTCCTTCATCGACTCTTGAATCTCTTCAAGTTCGATTTGCCTCCCACTGTCTCCTTGGCTTATGAGTTCTCGCTCTCGGAAAACTCCTCTCCTCGCAACAAAGACAACGTTGTCCTTCGATCTATAGAAGAGATATCCAAAGGATGTCTACGGGTAGCCGATGAAAATACATCGTTCACTTCGAGGTTCAAGCTTGTCGTGATTATCTAGTCTTACGAAAGCCTCGCAACCCCAAACCTTGATGTGTGCCAACGAGGGAGCTTTCCCTGTCCACATCTCGTGAGGTGTTTTGGCAACCTTCTTAGTAGGGACTCGGTTAAGGATATGGGCGGCAGTCTCTAAGGCATACCCCCAAAAGAAGATAGGTAGTGAAGCACGACCCATCATAGAGCGAACCATATCCAACAAGGTTCGATTACGCCTTTCTGCCACACCATTCAACTACGGTGTCCTAGGAGGCGTCAATTGCGAAACTATTCCACACTCCTTGAGATAATCGTGGAATTCAAGACTTAGGTACTCTCCTCCTCGATCGGATCGAAGCATCTTGATTTTCCTGCCTAATTGATTCTCCACTTCATTCTTGAACTCTTTGAACTTTTCAAAGGTTTCTAACTTTTGCTTGATTAAATAGATATACCCATATCTACTATAATCATCGGTAAAAGTCACATAGAAGCGGTTCCCATCCTTCGTGGTTGATCTAAAGGGTCCACATACATCGGTATGTATTAGGTCCAATAGCCCCTCACCCCTTTCACAAGTACTCGTGAAGGGTGACTTAGTCATCTTTCCAAGTAAACAAGACTCGCATGTGTCATCTTCCCTAAGGTCGAATGACTCCAACACTCCATCCTTTTGGAGTTGGGCTATGCGTTTCTTGTTGACATGTCCAAGACGACAATGCCACAAGGATGCTTTATCCATACTAGTGGAAGAATCAACATTCAAAACATCATTTCCTAAGTTATCAACAATCATAACAGTTTCATATATTCCATTACATGGTATAGCTTGAAAGTAAAAGACACCATTTAGATAAGCCAAAATAGAACCATTCTCATTATTAAAAGAAAATCTAAATCCTTGTCTATATAAACCATGAAATGAAATGATGTTTCTAGCCATTTCTGGCGAATAGCAACATTTGTTCAAATCTAAACATAAATTATTCCTAAGCACTAAAGAATACACTCCAATCTTGGTCACAGGTGACGATCTTCTGTTCCCCATGATTAGATTGATCCTTCCTTGCTCCACATCCCTACTTCGTCTTAGTCCCTGCACATTAGAACAAATGTGATAACCACAACCGGTATCAAGAACCCAAGAAATAGCATGATTAGAATCGTTAGATTTAATTGTGTATATGCCTGCGAAAGATGGCTTGATCTTTCCTTCTTTGATTGCTTGCTGGTATTCTGGGCAGCTTCTCTTCGAATGTCCTATCTTGTGACAGTGGTGGCACTCTGCCTCCTTCGGGTTAGGACAGAGCTTAGTGGGATCAACTTTGGTCCCACTAGAAGAGGCACCAGCTCGGGCTTTAACCTTGCAATAGTTCTTCGATGAAGCCTTCCTCTTCTTTCCCTTTCCTTCACCAATTGCCAAGACAGGAGCAGTAGACGGATTGGGAGTAGGTGCAGCAGACTTGTCTTTGAAGATGCTCTCAATGACCCTCAAGAGACCTTGGAGTTTGCTTAGGGTGACCTCCTCTTTGTTCATGTGGTAGGTCATCCTAAATTGGTTGTACATCAGAGGCAAAGAGTGAAGCACCATGTCGATCGCCAAGTCTTCCCCAAAGTCAACATTTAACTTGCGAAGGCGGTCGACATACCTTTGCATCTTTTGCAGGTGCACGGTAAGAGATTCTCCATGACCCATTTTAGTGGAAATCATGTTAGTGAAAATCTCATATCGCTCTTGTCTCGCATTTTGGTGGTATCTCTCCAATAAGTCTTGGTGCATCTCGTACGGGTACATGTCCTCGTAGGACTTTTGGAATTCAGAGTTCATGGTGGCAATCATGATGCAATGTACCTTCGTTGCATCTCGCTCATGAGTCTCAAAAGCGGTGATTTCGGCCAGACACTACTAGAAAAACAGCCTTTTACGATGCTCATTTGCGTCGTAAAACGCTCAGACGACGTGCAAATGCGCGTCAAGGAAGGCCCTGTCATAAAGAGAGACGACGCGCATTTACGATGCGCAATGCGTATCAAGGAAGGCCCTATCATAAAGGAAGACGACACGCATTTGCATGTCGTAACCTTATGACGCACGTGTTTATGACACGCATTGCGTATCAAGGAAGCCCTTGTCATGATAGGCCATGTCATAAATGAAGATGACACACATTTTTGCGTATCGTAATTTTATATGTTTTAAAAAAATATTTTTTCTAGATTTACTAATTTTTGAATTAAATTTTCATTTAATGTCTCTTAATAAATAAAATATCATATACAAAAATACAATTCATTGCACAAAATATAATGTCATACAACTAATCGTTCCATGGAAAGATAAAACAAATCAATAAAAGTTATAATGGAAATTTACAAACTAATTAGATACAAGAAATATGAAAAACTTGAAATCTCTAAGATTAATAATTCTAGCAGAAGCTTCACGTGAGATACATACAGTTGGACTAGTAAGCATGGATGTTCCCGAATCCACAATAGCAGCAGAAGAACACGTACATGATATCTTTTGCAAGAAGGTGCCTGTCCAAAACTACTGTTGAAGGTTGCCATGATAGCTGTTAAGATTTAAGCATAACAAGAAACCAATCAGTGACTATAATAAGCTAGAAAACAAGCAACTAATAAACAAAATAAGCAACTAATTAAGTCAAACTATGATTATGTATTGTTCATACAAGAAAAAGAAGGAAAAAAATGTTGATTTATTGTTGTTCATACAACACTCTCCAGACAACACTTAATTGAAGAAAAGAATAAGGCTAAACTTACAAAGAAAAAGAATTCAGGAAGAAGACAAGTTTGAAAGCATACAAAATAACATTTAGCCAAGCAAGTGTGATCTACTAGTAAACTTGAAAACGCAAAATTCTGAGTAAATGACCTAAATACCCTCAGAATCGTTAATCATAATAACAAGTAACAGACCTTGTAGGAGGCAATGCAGAGGTTTGGCCAGATGACATAGCATGATAAGCACCATCCATTGTGATATAAGGTGAAGCAGCCAAAAGCCCCAGCAGCACCAGCCAAAATAGGTAACCTACAACAAAATTTCACAATTTTAACCATTTTATCACCTAACTATTATTATCTTAAATATTTATTTACTTATATATATATTTAAAGTACCATGTCATTTCTGAATTCCCCATTCCATTGGGCTAAGTAACGTAGCCAGGGAACGCCATGCCAACAACAAGAACTCCAAGCCCACCAGGATGCTGCCCCGCAAATTGCACAACTGCAAATTTAATAACAGATTAGACACCATAAAAATTTAACATTTTTTAATGACCAAATAGCCCTTGGGTTTACCTGGCAAAATTGTTGGAGCACCACGAAAATTTTGATCACATGGATCCCAAAACATACATACACGATATGACAGATATGATAATATTGGATTAATAAAATATTTAAGAAAACGGAAGGGCAAATTTGTAAATTGTAACTGAACCTTCTCTGTGGATTTAGCTTTGTTCTCGGCTCCTAAAGTTTCAGTGGCGGTGCCTCTTGTTTGGCGCCATATACAAGCTTCATCTAGCGGCTACACAAGCCCTGTTTGTTTCATAACAACACACCATGCTTTTACCTAATATTTATTTTACTAAAGAAAAATAGATACAATGGTGAAGTGAAAGAGCATGTAGATAGAGACAGTTAATTAATTACCGGGTAACAAGCTGAAATGTTGAATATGATCCACAGGAAGTCCCAAGACACCAAAACCACTGTCACATCGGTAGAGCACATGATCAAAAGATTCTCCAAGAAAATAAATCGGCTTATTTAGGGACAAATTTTGATCAATCTTTACACTTTCCTCCACAATTTTAATCAACCCTTCATGCAAATATAATGGTAAAATGGTCATTTACTCTCTCATTTGGTTCCTTGAAGTTTTAACATAATATAAATACAAGAGAAGATGATAACCATCAAATGGTGTTCGATCATGAGAAGGAATATGCAAGCATTGAACATGAAAAACCCTATCATTGTATAAAATTTAAGCAAACATACTCCTATTAAAGATTCTATAAAACAAAATTTTATAAGAAAGAATGTTCAAAGAGAAGATGAAGATCAAATTCAACTCACTTTTCAAGAGGTTTCTCAGGTACAACAAGGCCAGTTCCAGTTCCTTCCAACCGTACACAAAGTATCACATCCAATTAGTAAGTAAATATAAGCATATCTTGCAGGGGTAAAATGGTAATTTGTGTAATTTTATAACCAAACACAAATTACCAGGCAAAAGGATTGTTTTCTGTTCCAGAGACTAAATACCCCTATGGAAATTCCTGATTGTAGACAAAGGCTAGGCTGGAGACAAATCTGCCATTGAATATAGATGCATGACAAAGTTTATAAACCATGTCAAACTAATTGAGTAGTCAACTTGCACTTCACATCTTCAGAAAAATCCATTGCCATTAATTTCTCCTTAACATCATCAGGTGTGGTCTCAACACCTGAAACACAAGAAAAATAAATAAATTCAATCAACAAATTAATACTTGTACAATCTTTTTAGAAACGAATATTATTATTAAATCAAAGAGAAAAAATTACCATCATCGAAAACACTGGAATTCTTGTATTGACTAACATGCTTGGCCATCTTTTGCAATCAAACTGTTGTTGTTGGTTTGATTCCCTGAAAACAGAGAATTCATGAATTCACGAAGCTTCAATTTCCAACTAAATATCTCAACAAAATTTATTAACATAACATACAAACAACATGCAGTCCATTTGTCAGCAAGAAGCTGGTTTCTGTCCATTTGGTCCTTGCTCCCCGAGACTTTCTGATTCAAGTACTTATTTCAGAGTTTCATATCGATTTTGGTTCTCATTTCAAGGTTCCAAGGACCAAAATCGATATGGAACCTTGAAATAAGGACAAAAATTAAAAAAGTTTCAATTTTGGATCAAACACGATGAAAATCAAAAAGCACAGGGACCATTTTCTAATTATTCTTAATCTGATACATTGTAACGCAAATAGCATAAAAAAGTTGGAAATCAGTGCAAATTGCAAATCAAAAGCAAGTAATAGGTAAATAATCAATGATAGACATACCTTAATAAAAGACTTGGAAGCTGCAGTGAAGCTAGAAACGCCGGCGTCTTGGCTTGCCAAGCACATACTCATTGTATTGATTCTGATACCGGAGCTCCGGGATACAGATGCGTTTGTAATCAAGGCTATCAAGGTCAACCATATCTTGATCCAGGCTGTCAAGGTTAAATCTTTCACAATCAAAATATTCTCAATTCTGTTATATATAACTATTTGATTTATACTGATTTTTTATTCGATCATCACAAATATCAATGAATGTGAAGATCCCAACAGTAACCTGTGCGAGGGGATCTGTACCAACACTCCTGGAAGTTACTCGTGTTCTTGCAAAGATGGCTACGTTGTAGATGAATTTAGCGACGGTCGAGGTTGTCTTGCTAAAACTTCGGAGTTCCCAGTTATCAAATTCTCCATAGGTAATTAATCAGTTGTAATCTTATCGTTTTTGTGTCCTTAAATGGATCATCCAGATTGGTTGAAATTTGAAAACGTGAAATAGTTTATGGTTATTCATCTTGCATTAGTTTATAGAAAAAATAGGTCCTTAATTTTTTTTAAAGGTAGATGACTAAAATTTTACTAAATTAAAAAAATTAAGTGGGTCATTGGACCCACCTTAGTTAAATGTAGACTCACCAATTATGTGGTATCATGCACGCAGGTATGGGATTTGGTTTCATGGCCATTTTAGTCCGAATAACATGGCTGTATTTTGCCTTCAAGAAGAGGAAGCTTATCAAAATCCGACAAAAACTGTTTCAGCAAAACGGTGGTTTACTACTGAATCAACGAATCACAAATTGGTTATCATTGGAAGTGCAAATAAAATTCATAAATTGAGCTCTACCAGAAATATATGCAGAAACCAAAAGAACTTTTTTCGTTCAGTTTCCTCTTACCGAGTATAAGACTCACAGGAACACAGTAGAGAAGGGACATGAACATGACGATAAAAAAACTTAATCAAAACTATGAGTAAATTAACCTAATCACTACAGATTACCTAAAAAATCATAAACCCTAGAAGTTTCTCTAGATTAATTTGGGGAAGTTGCATATAAATTGAAACATACATAAGCCCTAGAAATCTATTAACATGTAAAGTACCTGACTGATGCCATCGTTGTCAAAAAGAAACTCCTGGAAGAGATCAGCGACGCCTAATCATTGCGGTCCAAAGAAGCAGGATCTGCAATACGTGTTTTGATGTTGTAACGTTTTTGGTTGCAGATTTGTAGGTCATTTTGGAGATGGAAGACGATCACTAGAACAATACGTGTTCTCAACGACTTATTCTGGGAAGCCATGTGGCACCGATGAGCAACATAACAACTCCTACATGAAGATGATGACAAACGTGGTGGGCGGTGGAGGCGCTGCTTAAGGCATCGGGTTAGGGTTTCCATCGGAAGGGTTTTTTTTACCAGCGGGAAGGGCTTCTAAATGTGAGAAGCTGTTGTGAGCTCTAAGAAGTATGTGAGGTCTGGTTCAAAGCCCTAGTAACTTATTGATTATGTGAAGATGGGCCATATGCGAAGATAAAAGATGAAGACGGACCATATTTGAAGAATTTTGGGCAAAGGTATGGTTAGCTTGGTTTAAAGCGTATCTATGGATATTAAAGTGGCCATGGAATTTGCAGAAGTTGTACAAGTTTTAGGGATAAATCGAACTAGTTGGTCTTTGTTGTTGATCTTCTTTGCCGTGATTACTCGCCCGTGAATAGAGAGAAAGGTTAGGGTTTCTTGATTGAGAGAAGGAGGGGGAGAAAATGAAGGTCATCAGTAAGTGGAGAGGAATGAATGAGCGGGTCCTCCAAAATTTTGGGGATTTTTGTCGATCGATCATTTCCCGCCTAAAAGGCGTGTTTCATTAAAAATTTATAAAGCGACATACTTACATGACGCACACTTTATAAAAGGCGCCCTCCGCATTTCCTTTTTTTCTTTTCTAAACTTAATTTTAGGGCACGTACAAATGCGTGTCTTCTATCCGTCAAATTTTGCAAAACTGACACTATTTTTTAGGGCACCCACAAATGCGCGCCCTCTATCGGCGAGTGTCATTGTTTGCGCGTCATTAAAGGCCAGTTTTCTAGTAGTGGGAGTAGCGATTTCGGGGTTGATCTTCTCAAGCTTTTCATCGAGGACATACTCCTTATCCTCATAGCGAGCAATGGTGCGAATGTATCTTATCCATTCGCTAAAGTTCGTTCCATCGAAGGTGACCTTTTGGCAAAGGCTCATTAACGTGAAAGAACTAGCAGCAGCGTTGTTTGCGTTCGACATCTATAGAAAGGACAAAGATAGATTAGAATAAGAATCCCTAATTATCACCCAATAAGAAAAATTAGAGTTAGGATCCAACAATAACATTTACATACTAGAAAAGGGATGCCGTAATCTAACATGCAACTAAATTGAAGGTAAGTGAATGATGATTCACTAATTCTCCATCACAAAACCTAAACTATTAGTCCTAAGTGTATTGAGAATTCCTAGGTTCGGATGAGATTCATTGAAACTATTCAATGGCATGTTTAAATCTCGATATGCCCCTCTTGTTTGTGACTGGGATACCGAGGATCACAAAGCGGGTGTGAATTACCATGCAAATTCACATGGTGCCTTCATTGTAACGATCACCTATTCGATGTGCCGGTAAACCACACACGCTCCATCGAACTATGATAAACAATGAATCACCCTTTGCCACCTTTGCTTAGAACCAATTCGTGTGCCGGTAAACCACACACGCTCCACTAACTTCTTAGCAAGGGTGCAAAGTGTAATTTCATGGGATTGCATCAATTCACCTTTCCTAAAGTAACTAAGATTGGGAAATTTTTAAAAACATGTAGTTACTTCGTATTACTTATTATACTTTTAATGAGAGTATGAGGTTGCCCTATCCTACCCATTCGGCTAACGACCCTCCACCAATCAAGCAAGCGGTGCGTGTGAGTGTACACTCATTAAGCGCCATTTTATAGGTCGCAACCTTATACCCACCTTATAGATCGGCTTCGTGAATGAGACATACTAACGGTAAGACTAGCATTTAGTTATACATATATATATTATTCTAGTAATATCATATTAGTATAGGGTTGTGTTTTAAACCTTTTAAAACGTAGGGTTTGAAATTTAAATTGTCTAAATTAAAACTTTTAATCACAAATATAAATTTCAAAACGCGAGGGTAAGTTTTAAACATTTAAAACATGGAGGATCAAATAACAAATAATTCCAATTAACAATTAATATCCTAATTATCTATATTTGATTTATTCAAGATTTCTTTTAAGATAATTACCAAAATAATCAAAATAATTAATTAATTATCATATAAGGAAATTAAATATTTTATTAGATGATAAATATCTTTAATTAGATCAAGATTATAGTCATATATATCAAAAAATCGGATTAGGGTTGATCTAATATGATTAAGGTAAGTTTTCATAATATAAACATGAAAAAATCCCGGTTTTGGCTAATCCTGACGCCCGGACTCGCCGAGTACACAAAGGGACTTGCCGAGTCAGGCCTACTCGCCGAGTCCACTTTGGAACTCACCGAGTCCATGACTCAGAACCCAAAAAATCGAATTTTGCAGGTTTGTTTCAGTTAATCAAGCAACAATTTAAAGAAAACCAAGCTAGTCTCTGATACCACTGATGGGTTTTAGCCATAAGAACTTTCCTATGTGCGCATGCAAAACCATATTGCTTGGATCTAGGCTTTCTAATTAAAGATGCTTTGAATCCAAGACTTCTAATGCCTAATTAGGTTAAATAACAACATTGAAACAGATCTAGAACTATACCTTTGAATTCCTTGTTGATCTTGTTGTCTTGGAGCTTCTAGAGTCACAAATGTCACTCCTCTAATGGCTTACAAACACCAATAGCAAGGAAGATGATTTAGGAGAGAAGAGGGGAGGAAATCGGCCAGAGTTCTCTTACTTTAGATGAGATACCAATTTCCCTTACCTATGGGGTCTATTTATACTTGTAGACTCCTTAAGGGTTACAGTCTAAACCCTAATTGGATAATCTTCTCTTATGGCTATCCAAATCCATTCCTAGATAACATCATGGACGATTTTGAGCTATCCTTTAGCTCCTAGAATTCGTCCAATCCATATCTATATGGATTTACAGTCTCAAGTTTAACTATCAAACAATTGACAGTTTATACCCTCTTATTTAATTAATCTCTTTAAGTCACCAAATTAATTCCAATTAATTCTATGACTTATATTAATCAAATAACTATATATTATTCTTTATAATATTTACTCTCTCTTAACAAATCATCCCATCAAGTTGCTATGGTGAAGGCAACCCAAAAGGACCATGCACAACCGGGTCAAATACTTGCCTAATATAGTTGCAGCCTTAGACACTATTCCAACAGATATCTCTAAGACTTGGATTCAACATGCAACTCTTTTCATCATCTTGTTGTGCATCTTCTGGACTCTTATAAGTCCCCAAGTTCCAAGCTTTTTGGTTTATTATATATAGATCTAGGTTTCTATGTCTTATTCTTCATGTTGTGACATATTGGAGTGTTAGGATTTCATAAAGTTTCCAACGTTATGTATCCCTAGATTCCCTTTGTCGTTAAGAGTGTTGGATCTGGAGTTTTATAGAGTTTTGAAATCTTGCATGAGATCTTGGCCTTTTTTCTCTATTTTGACCTAATAAGAGTCCAAGACATGCATGTTTGGAAAATATGGATTTTTATGTGGTTATAAGGTGCTAGAAACGTTCTGGAATTGGGATCTAGTAAGCCTTCAAGGAAAAGTGCTTAATGGGTTAAGTCATGTCATGTTATTTTTCCCAATTTAGACTTAGAAGTGATATCACTATCTCTTTGAGGGTCTAAAGGGATAAATTTGGAAACTTAATCCACTTAGACCTTATAAAGGATCAAATCTGAGTTTTGGAGCCCTTGAATTTGGAAAGAAAAGTGACTTAATGGTTTAAGCTACCCAGACCAGTCCCTACGGTGTAGCTCAGGTTGCTAGGATGTGGCAACTTGGTCAAAACCTGTTTGTTTTGTCATTTAATGGCCACGACGTGGGCACGAAGGGCCACAGAGTGGCGACCTTCTGTAGTTGAATTTGACTTTGACTTTTGACCATTGACTTTGACCAAGGGGCATTTTGGGTATTTTGAGCTGTAGTTTGAGACTAGGTCATTGTTCGTGTTTAGGTGACCTGTAGTGTCAGCAGTTGGAGCTGTGATCTGTTTAGCTATATTTTCGGACTGTAAGGTGAGTTATCCTTACTATACTTGTGGGTCAAAGGCACCAATGTCGGTCCAGGAGATTATGTATTCTGGTTTGGAATGTTGCTCTACTGTAGTGAACTGTTAAAATTTGCATGTTTATTTGGTTACTGTTATATGTTTATTTGTTTTATATGTCGATATAGTGTGGTTGAGTTGAGATTGTACTGTTTTGTGTTGCCAGTCAATAAACCCGGGCAATCGAACCAAAAGATTATGGGCTGATGGCAATCCAACCGTACGTTTCTGCGCCGGAAGGGGGCAATCTAAGCGTGAGGTTGTAGGCTGGGGGAATCCAACCAAAAGGTTGTGGGTTGGGGGTAATCCAACCTTGAGGTTGTAGATACAGTATGTATTATTTGTATATGTTCCGTCGTGTGGTACTTTGGGGGAGCTCACTAAGCTTTGGCTTACAGTTTAAGTTTATTGTTTCAGGTACTTTAGATGATCGGGAAAAAGCAAAGGCATGATTGTACACATCCTTCAGTGTTATGTTTTGGAGATTTGATTACATTATGATTCTGGGATATTTGTATTTGATATTTGCTTTTGACATAGGTGTTTTTGTTGGAATAGTGTCTAAGGCTGCAAATATATTAGGCAAGTATTTGACCCAGTTGTGCATGGTCCTTTTGGGTTGCCTTCACCATAGCAACTTGATGGATGATTTGTTAAGAGAGAGTAAATATTATAAGGAATAATATATGGTTATTTGATTAATATAAGTCATAGATTAATTGGAATTAATTTAGTGACTTAAAGAGATTAATTAAATAAGAGGGTATAAACTGTCAATTGTTTTATAGTTACACTTTAGACTATAAATCCTTATCCAAGATAGGTTGGACGATTTCTAGGGCTTGGATAAGCCAAAATCGTCCATAGGGTTATCAAGGAAAGGATATGGATTAACTTAAAGTCTAAGTTATCCAATTAGGGTTAAAGCTGTAATCCTTAAGGAGTCTACAAGTATAAATAGACCCTAGGGGTGAGGGAATTCGACACACCATCTAAAGTAGAGATACTCTGGCCGAATTCCTCCCCTCTCCTCTCTCCTAAATCATCCTTCTTGCTATTGGTGTTTG